ATAACTCCTCCAGGGCAGTGTGGATTATGTTAAAGTGTTAGGAGGAAGTAGAAGGAAGAAAATGAATTTAGACTGAACATTTTTCTTCCACCAAAAACATTTTATTCCACCAAAATAGCAATTGAAGGGATATTTCTGTCAGGCAATAGGGAGAATAATAATTTCATACCACCCAAAAAAAAACAACCACACATACACTTAAATTCTCTCACCTCAGAAAACAGGGAAGGAAAGAAAAGAGAGAAGTAAAATACGAGCTTGAATAAAAAATCACAGAGAAACTTATAGCTATTTAGGGAGGGCAGCTGGCTGAAGTCAGACAGGAAGAGAAAGATCAAAACACCCTGCCCTATTTTTCAGGCTCATTCAAGTAGAAGACAAAAACAAAAATATGGGAGAAAGGAAGCAAACCACACCTTTTCCCTGCTGTCTCCCCAGAAAGGAACAGTGTCTCTGATCAGCCCTTTTACTGTGGACACTGACACTAAGCAAAGAAGATGACTCAAAAACGCTTCTAACTGGGTGATTCTGATGCTTTAGTTTATTTAAGATGTACCAGAGGCCATTGACCAAGGAGATCCATCGCTTGGTAACTGAAGCTCATCGCTTTCTCTTCTTAGTTCCCATTGGCAGGCTCTATGCCATTCCTTGCTTGTGATGTGAGACTTCTGATTTCCTTTTGTTGAATAGGATATGATTTCCTGACAGAGATCTGTCCTGACACCAAATAGTAGCTATGATGAAATTCTTGTTCGTTTTTTTTTTTTTTGGTGCCTTTTTGTGTGCCTTATCATTACAGGAATGCTAAAGGTGTAGGAATAGTTTCCCTGGATGCCCAAGAAATACAGTGTGATAGAAACAGTAGAAGGGACTTACTTGTTATGAACAACTTACTTATTATGAAACAGCCTAGGGACTTACTTTTTATGAACCTTTGGTTCATTCCATCTTTACTTCATCTGTAAAAGGGAGATCATGATAGAATCTACTGCATAGGGTTTTGTGATGATTCTCTCTCTCTCTCTCTCTCTCTCTCTCTCTCTCTCTCTCTCTCACACACACACACACACACACACACAGACACATACACGCACACACACACACATTTATATAGTGCTTAGAAAATGAACTCATAATAAGCAATGGACACATGTTAGCTGTTATTATTATGCAGGCAAGTCAGATTTTAGAGTTTGCGAGCCTTAGACACATTTACACAGAAGAAAAACTTTCTGGTCCAGCACCATATCCTCCACTTCCTCCCCACCTTTTGCCATCTATCAACCCCCTCTCTCCTCTAAATCCAAACACAGGCTCCCATTTGATCCAAGTTAGCTAGGCCCTTCCTCTCCTCTCCACGTGGCCCCTGCTTCGTCTCTGAAGGAAGCTGCAGAAGCCCAGCCTGGTGCTTCTACAAAGAAGGGGACACACACCTCTTCCACCCACTCACGCTGTTACTGCGTCTGATCATCTCTGTGCCACGTCCTTGTTCACTTAGCCTAAGCTGGTGTTTGTCTCCATTTCCAAATGTGATAAAACTCTTGGGAAAGACTGAGGTAGGTGTCGGCAGGAAGAAGAGAGGGAGTTAGACCGGGCGGCTTGAGTGCCCTCTGATGCCTCCTTTTCCACAGCATCACACAAGCCCTCACGAGTGGGAGCTCCACAGCCACGCACCTGGAGGAGGATTACTCACAATCAGGGTCAAATGCCTTGCATGTGGGGTCTACCAGTGAGCCTGTGGCCAGGCTTCCGCTTCATGAATTGTCACATTTTCATGAGAGATGTGGAGGGGGATGGGGCAGCATCCTAGCTCCTGTCCTGTCGAAGTTAGGTCAAGTCAGGCCGGGCTGTGGTAACCAACAACCTCCATTGCCTTCATGAAAGAACAGTTGTTTCTCATTCCTGCAGAGTGGCTTGTAGGTGTGGGTGATTCCCTGGGGCAGCTGCTCTTCGTGGTGACTCAGCTGGTTAGACTGCTTTTATATTGGGGTTGTGCCATCTCAACACAAGGCTGTCTTGATTGACTTGGTAGGGGAGGAGGAGAAGAGTCATGAACAGGGAATTACATTTTCTGACCAGGAAGCTTTTGTTCACTTTCTGTTGGTGAGAACAAGTCGCACGGCTCCAGGAGAGCAGGAAGTCCGGTTTCCCGTTTTCCATGGGCCTAGGAATTAGAGGATGAGCCCTCGTGATGTCTTCCACGTCTTGCTCTCTTTTTCTTTGCCTGTTATAATCTTCCATGGAGAAGAAATTATTTTTCTGATTGGTCCGATCAAGACCTCTAACCAAGGGCATGTTTACTAAGGGTCACAGAACAGTGAAAGGTTGCACAATTGCGTTTCACCTCTCTTTTCTGAATCCTGCTTAACTAAAACTTTAAAAACTCACGTACCGACCACTTCTTGCTCTTCTTAGTTATCAAATATATTTTCTTCCAACTCCTTTTTGACAGATCTTGCTTTGCTCTCAGCTGAGTCCACTGCAGCCATCTCAATGGAACTCCCTCATTCCCCTTTCTCCCCCACTAATCACCCCGTCTTTGTTCTTTTATCTGAAGAAGTGTTCCTTTCCTCCCACAAGACTTATGCTCTCTAGATTAGTCCATTTGGGTTACTGTAACAAGATACGTGAGACAGGGTAATTTATGAAGAATAGAAATTTATTTTTCAGTTCTGGAACTAGAAGTTCAAGGTGAACGCTCTGGAAGATTTGATGCCTTGGCCATTGACTTGAAAAATAAGTCACTGCAGTGAACTCTGGTTACCATGATATCCTGGGTTCATTCTTAACGTACACAGTATAGGCAAATCAATGCCACATTTCATGCTGAAAGACGATGTGAAATGATGAGTAAACATCGCCTTTTAAATAAGAAGGTAGAAGGTGAATTGCAATTTAAAACATCACCTTTTAAATAAGAAGATAGAAGGTGAATTTGAACTTTTGGTTTCATTTGCTTAAAAATCATGTTTTACTGTCCAGGTTTTACTGAAAGAATACTTAACTAAACACTTGCATCAAATCATTCCAGTGTAACAGTCCTCACAAGAAGGAAGGCAGAAGGGCAAAGTGCCAAGCTATTCTCTCCAGCCCTTCTCTTTTTATTAATTGATTGATTGATTAAGACAGGGCCTTGCTCTGTGACCCATGCTAGAGTGAAGTGATGTGTTCATGGCTCACTGCAACTTTGAAATTATGGGCTCAAGCAATCCTCCCACCACAGCCTCCAAAGTAGCTAAGACATCAGGTGCATGCCACCATGGTCTTTTTTTTTTTTTTTTTTTTTTTTTAAATTTAGACACGGGGTCTCACTGTGTTTTCCAGGCTGGTCTCTAACTCCTGGCCTCAAGATATCTTCCTCCTCAGCCTCCCAAAGTGCTGGGATTACAGGCACGAGCCATCATCCCTGCTCTCTGTAGCTCTTTTAATAAATTCTAATCGTATTCAGGAGGCTTCTGTATTCATGGCTTAATCACCTGCTGCAGGGCCCACCTTTTGATACTCTCACATTGGTGATTAAGTTGGAACACATGACTTTTGAGTGACTTTCAGACCACAGCATTTTGGAGAAAACTTCCCCTTTCTTCTTCTTCTTCTTCTTTTTTTTTTTTTTTTTTTAATCTTCAGCTTCTCTTTTCTATAGATGCCTTCCACTTCACTTGGAAGCTTGTTAAGATTTCTTCTATCTTAAAAGTTTATTTTCCCAGACACCAGAACTCATTCCCTCTAACTGTAACTTTGTACTAATTACAAACCTCCCCCCATTTCTACCCCTGACTCCCCAGCCTCTGGTAACTATTACTGTACTCTTTACTTCGATGAGGTCAACTTTTTTAGATTCCACATGAGTGAAATCATGCAGTATTTGTCCTGTTCTTGGCTGATTTCACGTAACATATGGCCCTCCAGCTTCACCCATGCTGTTGCAAATGACAGGATTTCATGCTTTTTTATGGCTGAATAGTATTCCATAGTGTATATATAAACAATGTTTCTCATTCATACAGAGTGTGTTGTAGGTGTGAGTGATTCCCTGGGGCAGCTGCTAATTACCCTGATTTGATTACTACGCAATGTATACATGTGTTGAAACATCATGCTGTACCCCGTAAATATGTACAATTATTACATGTCAATTTAAAAAAACCCAAGAAAAGTATTTTTTTTTAGAGTTTTTTTTTTCCTCAAGCACGTCCCATTTTTTCCTTTGTTTTCACTTTCAAAATTCTTGAAAGACTTTTCAGACCTGGTGGCTCACGCCTGTAATCCCAAGTTTGGGAGGCTCAGGTGGGAAGATCACCTGAGGTCAGGAGATCAAGACCGGGTTGACTTTTCATCTGCTGCCTTTGTTTTCTTCTTTCCAATTCACTCTTTTGAAATATGGCTTCTACCTTTAACACTCTGCTGTTCTCTTGAAGGTTATTGGCCCCCTACTAATCGTAAAACACAATAATGCTCTCTTATATTGTATCCCAGTGAACCTTTTTGCAGAATTCTATTCTTTGAGAATCTCTATTTTTTTTCTTTTCTTTTTTGTGATCCTTTTGGCTTACATGAAATTGTACTCTCCAAATGTTCTCTATGTCTTCTGTTTCTTCTCTGAGAATCCCTTTACTAAACCCTCTTGAGGCATATGCTTCAGAATGCTTAATTTGCATACTCTTAATTCCTTCTTAATTTATACACTCTCTGTTGGCAATGTCAACACCCCATAGAAAGGGAGGCCTATTGGTCAGAACAGGCCAGGGAATAGAATACATAATAAACAATCACTTAGTTCTTCTAGGGCCCCATGCTATGTAGAACAAATATTTTTACTTCTTCTCCCAGCCCACTTTTAATAGACCTAAATTGCTGTCAGTGATTCTGCAGGCAGACAATACTTGAGTGGTGTGACACAACTTTGTGAAACATCCTACCCAGCACCTGATGATGTAAAACTCTTCTATCTTGATTGGTTGTCAGTCTGAGGAGTTTCCAATCCTGGGGAAGCCAGAATAACAGCTGCTTATACTCTTAATGAATATTTTTGGACTGAGTTTTATGAACCCATCCTGAAGAGGCTGATGATTTTACTATCTCATTTTTTTCCTTTCCCTAGAATGGATTCTAGGTGGCTCCCCTGGGTGGTGGCTCTGTTAGTGAATCTGACCAGACTGGATTCCTCCGTGACTCAAGGCACAGACTCTCCAGGTAAGAAGAGAGCAATTATTTTTTCCAGTGTGTATGCAAGAATTGCCATGGGGGAGCGATGCCTTTTCTTATAAGTCCAGGCCACAGACCAGACTGGAAGTGGCTTTTGGCTTCAAAGAGCTGTGTTCTTCCCTTTGGCAGAAAGGTACTCCTTCCTTCTTTACATACATAGGATGAACTTCATATACCAGAGCCACCTGTTTAAGGGGTGGGGACGCAGGAAAAGGGAAACATTGTGTCTTGTTTAGGGTTCCTATTGTGTGTATCAATCGCCTATGCAGCCATGAAGCAATGTAAGACCATGAAAGCACATATTCATGAGCAGAAACAGGATGTAATGTGCTAAGAACAGAATCCCCTTTGCATGTTAGTTTCATTAAACACAAAAGAGGAACAAACCTGGCTGGGGGAGCTCACTGTTATTAGAGACTAGAAACCGCCCTGAGTTTATAATGTCCATTCGACAATACAACTGAACAAAAATCAGCGTAGATTTTTAAATGATGATGAAAGATTCAGATTTCCGCCCCCTGGTTTAGACTACTAGAGGAAATAGAGAAGAATATACACGCTGAGAAACTGCAGGCTGGAATTTCTTCTGAAATTAGCTACTGAGTGAGGGATAAGTGTGGTTGACCCAGGAAGGTCATTCTTATGGCTCAGTTCAGAGTTGGAGGAGGCCTCCGAACTTAGAAATCAAAGTAAATTTACAACCCAAGATTAATAGCAATTATTCTTCGTGTCTCAACTTAGATGCAATTTCTTCAGGAAGTCCTTCCTGACTTACCGTATCCTTAACCCCATACGAATTTCCTTTTTATTGTAGTTGCTGTTCTCAAGTACATAGAATTGGGTTAATTTTGTCCAGTGAGTTCACAGCACACTGTAATCGTTGGCAGTAGTACAAGACCTCTTTTCTCTTCCCTCGCCTCCATTCTCATTCTCTCCCTGCCCTAGAGAATCCATTCTAAAGGTGTCTGGGATGTGTCTAAGTATGAGAGTGGCCTTTAAAAATATGTAGCATTGTTTTTCTTTATGTATTAAAAAAATTTAATAAATGTCATTGTGCATTGAATCACGTTCTGTTTCTTTTCTCACTGGACACTGTGCTTTTTAAGCATACGGAGGTTGAAGGCCTCCTCTAAGATCCATGTGCTCTGATGTAATTTACCAGGCATGGGTTTTCCCCAAGGAGGGAGCTGGTTCATGGTCCCCGTTTTGGTTTTCCAGAAGATTTTGTGATTCAGGCAAAGGCTGACTGTTACTTCACCAACGGGACAGAAAAGGTGCAGTTTGTGGTCAGATTCATCTTTAACTTGGAGGAGTACGCACATTTCGACAGCGATGTGGGGCTGTTTGTGGCATTGACGGAGCTAGGGCAGCCGGATGCTGAGCAGTGGAACAGCCGGCTGGATCTCTTGGAGAGGAGCAGGGGGGCAGTGAATACGGTCTGTAGACACAACTACAGGCTGGGCGCTCCCTTCACTGTGGGGAGAAAAGGTGAGGAGACAGGTGGGGTCTGGCAGGGCTCAGGAATGTCCCCCATGTGAATCTGGCCATGGCTCTTCTTCCTTATAATAAGCGATTTTCTGCTTTAGGATAAATGGTTGTCTGTGTAGACGTTCTGTCCCCAGCTGTGACGCATTATCCTCACAAGTCCACCACTGTGGTCTTGCTCTTAGACCCCCAAGGCTGTTGGGGACTTCTAGCCCTCTAAGTGGGCTGGTAAAGCAGTGATCATGGGAGTACCTCAGAAAGTCTAAATCCTCCTGGGAAGCATTGACATACCCTGCTACTGATCTTGGGGGCTGAGACTTACCGATACTTTGCGTTCACTTGGGTGATCTGGGAAAGAGAGGTAGTGATAGTCCCTAAAGAATCTCCTGTCCCAGCTTGGTGGTTTCCTTTCACGGTGTCTCATTTCTACCCCTTCCTAGTGCAACCAGAGGTGACGGTGTACCCAGAGAGGACCCCACTCCTGCACCAGCATAATCTGCTGCTCTGCTCTGTGACGGGCTTCTATCCAGGGGACATCAAGATTAGCTGGTTCCTGAATGGGCAGGAGGAGAGATCTGGGGTCCTGTCCACTGGCCTTATCGGGAATGGAGACTGGACCTTTCAGACTGTGGTGATGCTGGAAATGACTCCTGAACTTGGAGATGTCTACACCTGCCTTGTCAATCATTCCAGCCTGCTGAGCCCTGTTACTGTGGAGTGGAGTGAGAATTAGTTTCTAGTGCTCTCTGGGCCTGACTCAGGACTATAAAAACTGACTCAATGCAGAGCCTGTGTCACTTCTGGGTCACAACATGAATTCTTCTTTCCCTTGATTTGGGACAATCACAGAAACCAGAGTTCTTGGGTTAGGGTGGGACAAAACATGGCAGATATGATTCCTCATATCTTCCAAGAAATAAGGAGGTCTAATCACCTCATTATATGCGTCCAACCCTATAAACTGGTATCCTCTAATTCTTTGGTCTTAGTAATTGGGAGGCATTCCTATGGGTTGTAAGAATCAGTAACAGACGGGTTATAACTCCATGGGTGCCAATTTTGGTTTCAATGAACTATTTCTAAATTTATTTATTTTTCTCTAGCTAGCATTGGATTTGGTATCTAGTATAGATTCTGGGATTTCAAGAGGTGGATTAAATACTGGGATATCTTCGCTAATTTTAACACCTGTTTCCCATAGGAGCTCAGTCTGAATATTCTTGGAGAAAGATGCTGAGTGGCATTGCAGCCTTCGTATTTGGGCTAATCTTCCTTCTGATGGGGATTGTTATCCAGCTCAGGGCTCAGAAAGGTAATGAGCCTGTGAGGAGTGCCCTGCCGCCTGCCCAAGGGCTTCCCCGCTCCTGTCTTCCCTGACATCAAAGATCTGAGGTAAGGAGAGCTGATTGTACCTCTCAGGGATCACTGGCATAATTTTTTTCTGAAGCTAGAAACAGGGAATAAGCAGAGAGAGTGCTGATGTTGCCAGCCATTTGTCTTCCCTCCCAGGATAATCATATTTGGTCCTAATTGGGGCAATTCGTTCCATTCTTTTCTCGATTTCTTTGCAGGACACTGTGGGGACGCAGATGTCTGGTGATGAGGTAATGTCTCCTTTTCCTTGTCTTTGAGTGGCAGATCGTTCTCCCAGTTCTTTGGCCAGAAGGAGATGCCATGGGGGTAGGGAGGAGTAACGTTGGTTCTGTCTGGGTGGCACTGTCTCCTGAGTCTCTGGAATGGCTATGGGGGGTGGTAAGGCTGCCTCCTGAGACCTTCATCACTGTTCCTCCAGGTCTCAAGAGCTGTTCTGCCCCTTCAGCCATGCTAAAGTCCACGGACGCTTCTCTCCCTGGAGCCTAAAGTAGTGATGGGTAGTCTGGGCCCTGGGTGAGGTAAAGGACATTCCTGAGGCCAGTCTTCTGGGAATAACTCTCTTCCTTGATCCTTGGAGGAGTCCAACGCGATTCTGGAACTCTGTGCTCTGAGATCATGCATCTCCCACCCATCTGCCCTTCTCCCTCCTGCATGTATACATCTTTAATTCCCATTGCCAAGGACTCTGTCCAGAAACTCCTCTAAGACCTTACTTCTTCCAGCCCCAAATCATTCATTTTTCTATGGTCCAGCCCTACCCCTATAAGCCATGATCTCCAGAGCTTTTCGTCTTCCAGCTGCAGTCTCCACAGTCTTCAGAAGACGAAGGCTCAGGTAGTCACTGTTTCCAAAAACCTCTTTGTTGTAGAATAAAACGGAGATACAGAGAACCACACAAAATGTATAATTTAGTAAGTTATTTAAGGAAAACTCCATGTAATCCAGTTAAGAAACAGGACTTTGCCAGCTCCAGCAGACGTCTCTGGGTACCTCAGGCCAATCAAAACCTCTCTCTCCCCTCAAAAGTGATCATATCCTGACTTTCTGGTAGCCTCTTTCCTGCCTTTCTTTGTAGTCTACTCCCCCAGGTATGCGTTCCTGGACGCTACAGCTTAGTTGCCTTTTACATCTCTTATACTTCACTGGTTTCTCTCTCATCTGCCTTTGTGTCTGTCTTCTTATGATTAATCTGCTGAAAAGCTGGAGCTGTTTGACCTGTAGCATTTCCCACACTCTGGATTTTGCTGGCTGCATGCACATGGTACAGTGTAACACGTCTTCTGCCCTCTGTATCTCCTGCAAATTGGCATCTGAACACAGAGGCTGGATCAGACTCTGATTTGATCTTTTCCTTTGGAAAGTCTATACGTGGTCCTGTGGTCTTTCATCATGAGATGAAATTTCCAGCTGTTTCTCTTTTCGTGATGTTCGCAATCATTGATACTAATTGCTTAGGTCGTTAATTTGTTGGGGATTGTTAAATGGTGATATCCTGTCATTTTTCTTCATTTACATGATTTATTAATGCTATAAAGAGACACTTCTTTTCCTTTACTAGTGAAGAGACACTCCCCTTCACTTACTAGTCAGTGGAAAGGCAGAATCAATGTTTGAGTCTCCTTTTATTTACTAATTTTCAAGCTAATAAGTTGGTTTCCTAATAGTAGTAAAATCTACAGATGCCAATCAGGTTTTACTTTTATTTTTCAGGTAAGTATAAACAGAAGGATTTAAATGTTTGATAGATTTTACTCTATTGCAATTTTTATGCTTGTTGAAGCTTACGTGCTTTATTTTTGGTGAGTGAAAACTTCTTCAAGTGGCTGAAAATGAAACTGAGTTCTTTTGATACAAAGTTCTTTTGATAATTTCTTTGTTATCTGGGATGACAAGATGTTTCTGGTTCATCCTCTTCATTTCTTGCCTAGACCTGGAGGTAGCCATTTTTTTTTTCTTCAGAAATCTCTGGTTTATTTTACAGGAAAATGACATTTAAGACTATAATCTAGAGCTAGGGAGTCTCATCCTACTGAACCCACCGCTTGAGTCACCTCAAAAGTAACGGCAAGGGAGTTTCCACCAGGAAGTGCTTCAAACCATCCTGAGATGCTGTGGGTCAGGATTCAAAGAAAGAAGCACGAAATGCCAGGGTGATCAGTCCAAAGCATTTATTTGGGGAATTTACCTACGGAGGGCTTCAGGAGTCCTAAGAGACAGCAAGAGAAAAGGGATGTTCTTCCTGGGTATTTCTGCAGTGAGGGGGTCAGGGTATGGAGTTTATATGAGGGTTTAAAGAATTCGGCTCAGGGCTGGGACACAGTTTCAGCATTCAGGGCAATAACCTAGATAACTTTCTCAGTGCCTGGGAGTGTTCAAGGCCTTGGCTCAGGTTCAGGCCTGCTGGGGAAAACCTGCAGTTGGCTGGGTCACAGAGGCATTCTGTGATTTTTCGGTCAGAAAATGGAAAGAAACCAGGGAGAGGGGTAGTGGAGAAGCCTAAATAGATAGGAGTGGTCACTGCGTCTGGCCTGTTCAATGGAAATATAACATTTATAGGTGTATACATTTTAAAAAATCAGTCTTTTCTATATTACATCTGCGTCTCCTTTCTTTTACACCAAGAACTCTGGTTTTTAAGGACGCAGGGACAGACACAATTAGAAAGTCCATACTTACTTGCTTTTCCTGAATTAACACAGACAGCAGTCTAAGGATAATAACACTCATAGTACAACCACAAAATGGCTACTAAAAATGGTCGACATTCTTTTTAGCTCCATTCTCCATTTTTACCTATGTTTTCCCCACCTTGCTAGTTGAACTGTGTCTATGTTAATTGATCTTGTACCATTACAGAGACTACTTACTCCCTTATGAGTCCTAGTTCTGTGAGTTGAGCCAGGTTTAATGCTCACCATCATTCCCTATGCTGATGTCCCTGTCATGTGGTGTTTTTCAGGTGTGATCCTTGGATCCATGGGGGTCCCTGGGACCCTTCAAGGGGCCTATGAAGTCAAGCATTTTTCTAATAATATCAAGATGTTATTTGCCTTTTTCACTGTATTATTTGCATAGTGGTATAGAAATCTATGGTAGGTGAGACCGTTAGTGCCTCAGCACAAATCAAGGCGGTGACATCAAGTCGTGTAGGTAGTCATGTTCTTCACTGCCCTAAGCTTAGAGTAAAGAAAAGAAAGAAAGAACGAAAGAACCAGTGACTTTGATGAAGCAATAAAATCATTAGTTTACTAAATTTTAAACTTCAAGCACACATCTGTTTAATATTCAGTGTAAGAAAATAGGCGGCATTTCTGGTGCATACTGAAGGAAAGGCAGTTGTTCTGTGGAAAAGCCACTGTGTAATTGCATGAGTTGTGAGTGAAGCTAGATGTTCCTTTTTTTTTTTTTTTAATGGGTGGGTCGTCATTTTCCTTGAAAGAATGACTGAAAGTCATAATGTGATTATTCAGACTTGGGTATTTATAGAAATTTTCTCAAAAATGAACAAAATAAGCTTATCCTATCAAAGAAAATAATATTGACAGTGGAAATTGGAATTTCAAGTGAAAATTAAAATTTTGGAAAACTTATGTGTGCCGCAGCTTCTCACTACTTAAAGATTTTCCTGATGAGATTGGTGGTGATATTAACAAATATGGTTTTAAAAACATTGTTTCATAAAATATGTCAGTACTTTAATCTGCATAACCCCATGAACCAATAATTTACAAATAATCAATGCATGATATTGCAAAGTCATGTGTAGATGAAAAGATCCATCTAAAGATAGACTAGTGAATTTTAACATAACAGAATATGAAAAGTTAGTTGATAAGGTTTCAGATTCTACACCGCAACAGACCTGTAATAATCTGCCATTTGTTGGGTTTTGGTGTCTTATCAAGGAAGAATAGTTACAACAGCTGAAAAGGCTATTGAAATGTTCCTCCTTTTCCCACTGTGTATCTGAGTGAGATGAGATTTTCTTCCTGTACCTCAGCCAAAACAACATATTGTTCCATACTGAATGTAGAAGAATCTATAACCAAGCTAGTTTTATTAAGCCAGACATTAAAGAGATTTTTACAAATGTTAAATAATTCCTTCTTTTGTACTATTTTTCTGTGCTTGAAAAGACAGCTATTTTCCATAAAAATATGTTATTTATGGTAACATGTAATGAGTTTGTAAAAACAAATAAATCGGGCCAGGAGCAGTGGCTCACGCCTGTAATCCTAGCATTTTGGGAGGCTGAGGCAGGTGGATCACAAGGTCAGGAGATCGAGACCATTCTGGACAACATAGTGAAACCCTGTCTCTACTAAAAATACAAAAATTAGCTGGGCGTGGTGGTGCATGCCTGCAATCCCAGCTACTAGGGAGGCTGAGGCAGGAGAATCCCTTGAACCAGTGAGTCGGAGGTTGCAGTGAGCTGAGATCATGCCACTGCACTCCATCCTGCAACAGAGCAAGCCTTGGTCTCAAAAAAAAAAAAAAAAAATATATATATATATATATATATATATTTTACATATATGTAAAGTGACTATATACATATATATACGTATATATATTAATATACTTATATACTTATATATTAATATACTTATATATTTATATATACTTATATATATTAATGTCACTTTACATAATTCATATAAACTAAAGCTTCTTGGTGTTTTCAACAATTTTATGAATAAAAAGGGATCCTTATACCAAAAGAATTATAAACTATGGAGGTAGTCACTGTGATTGTTTGAAATTATTTCTCTTAGGTGCCTCAGGAAGACTAAGGAAAGTGTCTTAGTTTGAGCTACTATAACAACTACCAGAGATTGCATGGCTTAAAAACAGCAGAAATGTATTTTTCACAGTTCTGGAGGCTGGGTCCGAGATCAGGGTGATAACCTGGTAGGGATCTGGTGAGGGCCTGCTGGCAGCATCTTCTCACTAAGTCCTCACATGGTAAAAAGAGAGGGAGCTCTCTGGAGTCTCCCTTATAAGGACCCTAATCGCATTCACAAGGGCCATACCCTCATGACCTAATCACCTTCCAAAGGCATCATCTCCTAATACCATCACCTTGGATGTTTGGATTTCATTGTATGAATCTCGGGAAGGCACATTCAATTTATAGCAGGAAGTTCTTGCACTTCATAGTTGAAAGTCAGTTTTGCAGATATAAAAATCTTGGTTCTATTTTCTGCTCTTGGGTATCTTAAAAAGTTACTACATTTTCACATAGCTGCTATCAAAAAGTCTGATGATAACCTAATTGTTAACAAGTCATTGTTACTTTTGCTGAGATGTCCAGATGGTATTTTCTTTTTCTTTAGTATCCACAAATTTTATTGAAAAATATCTTGTTGGGGGGAGGGCAAGATGGCTGACTAGATGCAGCCAGGTGGAACAGCTCTCACTGAAGAGCCCAGACGACTGGTGTGTCCCTAACAGATGTTCAGATGGAAGGCACTTAGAGTGGACAGAGGGTAGACACAGAGGCTGGGCTAAAGGGGGAGAAAGCTGGGAAGCTTACATGAGGCTATAGCGCATCCGAACTCATTCCTGTCATCCAGTGGCTCCAGGGAAATAGGTGAGTTGAACTGGCAAGGAGCAAGCCACTCTCACAGCCTCTGGAACCATGGCAGGAGGAGACCCATCCACCACCATGGATACTTGAGTTGGCAGGGAGAGCCATTTAGAGAAGTGGTGGGGGCAGCAAGCCAGCTGGTGTGGAGCCAAGAGGATTTGGTGCAGGAGTGTCTGCAGTGGAGCATGGCCAGGAATGGCCATATTTCTAGGCTGAACTTAATCCCATAGGAGACATTAGCCCTAGGGGAACTGTTAGTCCTGAAATCTGTAGGGTGGTCTTGCCCATCAGATGGAG